GAAATAACCTAGGAGTAATACAAAGTAAGCCCCCATAAATATGAGGGAGTATATACTCTCCTCCTAAACTTTAGATGGTAGATATCCTAAAACATATGTTTAAAACTTTTTTTCATATTTTTTATTGTACACAAGGTAGAATTATGCTCACTTTTTCACTTTTTCAAAAGAAAAGTTTCTCAATTGTTCCACCTCAAATACAAATAGACAATTGTCATCTTAAAATTATACTGAGTATTATATATCATGAGCACTGGGCCTTGATCGGCCTATTAGGCAAATGACCTGGACCCCCGATTCTCAAATCAACCTTTGAGATTTGAGTCAATATAATTCATCACTTTTCACAAACCTTAGGACGTGTTTAGTAACACAGATATTTTCCAGTGTTCCAGAAAATTGGAAAACTAGAAAATAGAAAACAGGAAACGCGTTTAACAAAGAAAATTGCTGGAAAACTAGAGAAAGGAAAACAGAAAAACGCGTTTACCAAACCGTTTTCCAAAACCAAAAAAATGAGACATGTCTCTCTTTTCCTTAATGATTTGGAGAAGTGACTTTTACTAATTTTCCAAATTTGGAAAACGCAGATGCTACAGGCCTCTGCAATGAATTTGCATACTTACACCTAGTGGTGGGTCCGGTCCCGCTCGATGTTGATTCCATTCTAGCACCTCCATCCTCATACCTTACCTCTTACCCCTACCCTACCTACCCACCCAACCCCCACCCCGCATACCCCTTTTCTCTACAATGACCCTACCTCCACCCTCTACCACATGCGCCTACATCGGCCCCACCCCGATCCACCCTACCCTACCGCCACCCCCCAACCACCTCAACCCCACCCCGACCCACCCTACCCTACCCCCACCTCGTATATTACCCCTTACCCCTACCTTACCCCTTCCCACATGCCCCCTATCTCGGCCCCACCCCACCGCTACCCCCACCCTCGTACCGCCATCCTACCCCACCACCATCCTACCCCTTCCCCTACCTCGGCCCCACCCTACCGCCATCCTATCCCAACTCCCTACCTTACCCCCGCCTTACTCCAACCCCAACCCCACTCACTACCCCCACCTTACCCCTAACCACTGCCCTAACCCACCCACTACCCCACCCAACCCGTACCCCTAGACCTTACTAGCCCACCCCCACCCACCCCCACCCATACCTTCCTTCCCTACCCGACCCCTATGAGTAGGTATGGGTGAGTATGAAGGGTTTTAGGGGAGTATGGGTAGAGTGTAAGATCGGGGTAAGGGTAGGGGTCAAGGGTGTGGAATTTAATGTACGGTGTAGGGGTGGGGGTACGAGGTATAGGGGCAGGGTAGGAGTTAGGAGTATGGGTACACGTATGAGGTGATTGACCCCACATATTATATTACATATTTGTGTTCATGAATGTTTGTGTGTTTATATATGTATAGGGTTATTTTGGACATTTTAATGTTAAACGGTGTTTTAAACCGTTTGAAGTAAACATTATCTTATAACATTGCTTATTTTATGTGTCGCTTATTAACGCGAGTCTTAATAAGCACCATTTAGTAACATGTGAAGTAAAATGTCAGTCTTCTGGATGATCGCAGAACTGGGTGAAAAAATTGATGAACATATATAAACTGAAGATAGAAAAATTGAAAAATAAAAACAGAAAATTGGAGAACGAAAAACAGAAGTAGAAAACAGAAAAATACATTGTTAGTAAACAGGCCCTTAGTATGGAACTATGGTATGTCATACATTCACACTACCTCCTTCCGGAAAAGGTTCGACATATGACTTTTCTTTGCGATGATGGCAAACTTTGGATAATGATTTAAATTAGGGAAAACTGTTAAATAGGTCCTCGAACTTTCATAAAAAAATCAATTAAGTCCTTTTATAGGAGACTTTGTCCGGTCGTCGCGATTTGGGGCGGTTCCCGGTGGAATTTAGGGCTGAATCGATAAGGTATACCGAAAATTTCAACCCATACCGTATACCGTACCGAAAATGCGGTATGACAAATTCTTACACCGATACCGTACCGGGACTTTCGGTATACCGTGTTTCGGTATACCGAAATATCGGTTTGGAAAAAAACTCATACCTTACCATACCAAAGATTCGGTATACCGAAAAATTTCGGTATTACCGTACCGTACCGAATGGGAATTTTTTTACAAATTACAAATAATGATTAAAGGACTCATTTACAAAAAGAAAATGTCACAGGGGAAGGAATCAGTTGCCTAACTTGAAAGCATCTACATGAAGGGAAGACGGAGGTTTTCTGTACATTAGCATTGTGATCCCCTCAATCACAACAACAACAATTGCTGCTACCGATATATCCCAATCCCCTGTTTGTCCTAGAAACCCAGGAGAAGCAGAAATATTTTCATTGAATGAGATACTTCATAATGAATTTCAACACAACAGTAAGATCACATCCATCTAAAAAGATCATAATAATAAGTACCGGTATTAGGGTTATTCATTGGATGTTACGTAGACACAGAGTACTGGTAGTAGAAGGTTAGTGGGCTTGGGTTTGGAAAAGTGGGCCTTAATTTTTGTATTTTGATATTTATTACCAACTTGAATTTTATTTTGGGCTTGAAAATTTGAGTGGACTTCTACAACATTTAAAAAATATATAAAATAAATGTTGAGTATGGAATCGGTACGGTATTATACCGGTATACCGCGGTATTTATAAACATATACCGTTACCGTACCGAAATAAAGCGGTACGGTATGATACCTTACCGAAAATGACGGTATACCAACATTCCGGTATTTTCCGGTATTTTTCGGTACGATAAGTGCGGTATACCGGTTTTCCGGTATTTCTGCCCACCCCTAGTGGAATTATTTGATAAAAGTTTTTGAGCATCTTATTCATCAAGTCTAGTTTACTCATACCAAATTTCAGCTAAAAATTTAATCGGGAGCGCATTCAAATTAATTCGAGAACGCAAAAATGCGCAGTTATCTTAAAGAATTAATTTGAATGTGTTCCCGAATGAACTTTTAGCTGAAATTTGGTATGAGTAAACTACACTTGGTGAATAAGATGCTCAAAAAATTTAATCAAAAAATTACACCGGGAACTGCCCCAAATCGCGACGGCCGGGCAGAATCTCCCATAGAAGGACTTAATCGACCTTTTTATGAAAGTTCGAGGACCTATTTGACAGTTTTCCCTTTAAATTATTATATTTGTATACAATTTATAAATTTTATACTTTTATGAAAAAAATTTGAATAAGGAACGTTTTAATATAATTTTCGTATCCAAAATAATTTTGTACTAAAAGATATTCTTAGTTAAAGTTGATTGAAATTGATTAAGAAAAATCAATTTGACAAACATTTCGGGAAAGAAGAGAGTAACTGACGTAAAAGTGCACGATTATGCATATAAATTATGTGATGTACGAACTTTGAAATGTACATAATTGTGACCGCTTCACTATATTTTTATAAGGTGATCTCATCATTTCCGTTTCTATATTTACGACCAATATTAAGTTTTGATTTTTGCTTATATGAACATGTCCACTTAGGCTTGATTTGTGCTACAAAACATCCTGTCATGGCACATATGCATTCGTTTATGGAGTATTTATTAACACCGAGTGATGTACGAATCGAACTTTGACATACTTATAACTTGTGTTTTTACCTTTTTTAGCTCCGAAGACTTTTCGTAATTTGTAATACTCGTCTCCCAATTTAAACTTGCGAGTTTTAATAGCACATAGTTTGAAGAAATATTTCATTTCCCCCTTACTTTTCTCTGTATCATTTAAATTTTATCGGATGTCCCCGAAGGAACTTCCTTTACTTTTCTAAAATGTCATTTTTTAAGAGTTTAATTTTAGTACACAATGTATTATTATTATACTGTTTTGCGCTATTTAACACTATTTGACAATATACATCCGTAATATACATCCGTAATATACATCCGTTGTCATTATTTCACGGTGAATGAATTATTGATAGAAATTTGTATACTGAATAAAGAAGGGGCTTTATTTAAGGTACCAACACAATAAACCATGAATTCTCTAAGAGAAGGGGATATGATTTAGAGCTCATTTCATCGTTTGGAGATACTAAAATTGGATGAATATATTACATTATGAGAAAATTGTATTTAAAATCTATTCATTAATAAAATAAAGAAAAAATCATATGAAAATGGGCGAAATGATCCTCTATAGTACGGGTGGGCATATCAGTTTTCGGTTCGGTTTTTATCAGTTTCGCTTCAGTTCGGTTCGTAAACGTGTTGGGAGAACTATTACCAAACAAAAATCATGCTATTTTTCAAATTGCATATGGTCTGTTTCGATTCGGTACGGTTCAGTTCGGTTAAACCATACTAATATACTAGTATATGCCCACTCCTACTCTATAGTAACTTCTGTTGTTATCATTATGGAGTATTGCACAATTAAATGCGTAAAATTAAAAGTTACGAATTTGATAAAAAAGTTCACTAATAGATCTGATAAGTTCACTAATAGAAATTGTTGGTGTTAAATGTATAACTTTTAGTCCTTACACCTTACTTTGACCTTTCCCACATTTACACATCAACAATGCTTGATGTACCTACCCTAATACGTACACACCTTATACTCACCGTGTTTGTGAAGGTTTTGTTTGTATGTGAATCCGGTTCACGGACAAAATATGTGTTATTTTGTCTGTGTAAATTTTGCACAAACAAAAATTGTCTGTGAACGGAACTCACACACAAGAAAAAGTCTTCACAAACATAGGTGGATATAAAAGTGGATATAAGAGTGAGTACAAACATTATATTTGTCTACGCATCTCCGTTTTCCAATTGCCCTTTTAGGTCCTCTTATTTGAGATTTGTCATAATGTGCGAATGACAAAAAAGTTACTATGACAAAAGTTTGAAAACTGATCGCAAGTATTATGACAAAAGTTTGAAAAATTAAATTGCCATTATTTTCGCAATCGCCAGAAAATTGAATATTTTAATGGGATTGGTTTCAGTTCAAATAGATCATACAAATAGTTGGAGGATTATACTAATTTAGATAGAAAAGACTAATCTAGAAGATTTAAGTGCAATTGAAACATCCTATAATAAATGAAAAGAAAAATATCAAAATATCTTTCTCAGAAGGAATAAAACTTAAATTATTCTACATATAAATTATACTCCGTATCATTATATTATTCAGCAAGAAACAAACAATATTTAACATATAACACGGACAAAACTTCCGAAGGTCATTCTTCTCTAATGCTCCGGTGATCGACCTTTGAGGACTCTCAAACTTCAAATTCCGGTACACGAACAAAAATAAAGGTAAAGATCGATGATCATGGAAGATGATGGTGAAGATGGAGTATGAAGAGCATGTAAAAAGAAAGAAGAGAGAAGAAAAGAAGAAATAGAAAGAATATATATAATAAAGGGAAAGTTCCCGAAATAGGAGCGGAAAGAAAAAATTAAAGAATAAAAAAGAGTCATTTGTAAGACATGAAGAGGGAGGGAGGGGAATAAAATTGGACTCTTATATAGGGTGTATATTAACATGTACAACTAGCTTTTTTTCAATGATTCACCTAATATTTTTGTTGATACATACATGGGCAGAGAACTAAAAGTAACAACATAACCTTGTCTATATATTTAAGGTGATTTCATTGCTCTAATTTTAGTTTAATAAACAATATGGAGCATTTGTTTTTGTAGGGGCAGAGGTAGAGGGAGGCTAATCGAGCCCCGGCTCACCCCAAATTTGAAAATTCTTTGTATTTTTAATATATAAATTTATGTATAAAATTAAAATTTATCTGGAAAAAATCTTTGTATCTGTCTATCCCAACTTTGGATCCTGGTTACGCCCGAGTTTTTGGGTTCTTTTTTGGCTTTTCACGCATGCACCTCAAATCACATACTCCCTCCGTCCCATATTTAACTCCGGTTTTGACCGGACACGAGTTTTAAGATAGTGAGATTTGTGTGATGGAGAGTTATGCAGAGGAGAGAGAAATGTGTAAGAATGGTTGTGAACCACATATTCTTTACCAAAAAGGGGAAAAGGAGATAAATTTGGGACGAACCGAAAAGGAAAGAATGAAGATAATTCCGGGACGGAGGGAGTACATATCTACTTAGCCACTTAGACTTGGATTCATTGGGACTTGAGAATTGAGGGATCAGTCAACCCAGTCATGCACTGGCTCATCGACAATCTTGCCCAGACCAGAAACTATATAGCTTAGATAGATTGCCCAACTATATATATAAGCCAAGTTGGTTAGTTGGATATACATATAGTGCTACAAACAAAACGCTGAGGAGAGACTTTAAGAACAGCCATGCATTGAATTGGTTCCATGTTTGACGTTGCAAACATTCTCTCCAAAGAGAAAAAGAAATAATGGATAAAAGTGGTTTAATTAGTACGTAGTATACATAAAAGAAATTTTGTTCTGAACAGGAGTGATAACGTATTTTGCATTATCAAACTTTAAACATAACAACATCTTTAAAGATTTATAGTAATTACTCGAGAGAATTCTTTAAATAGGAGTAAAAATGTTTTGAAATTCCAAAATAGGAATAACATGTTTTTTAGTCCTTGAATAAGAGTAAATTTATGCCAAGTTTGGCATTACTAGGCTTTAAAACATGACATTCTTTTCTAAACTTGGCAGATTACTCCTATTCAGGAAATAAAAAACATGATACTCCTATTTTGTAATTTCAAAACGTTTTTGCTCATATTTAGAGCAATTTCTATAATTACGTATATTTAAAGAATAAAAACATGACATCATGTCCGACTTTAGAATTCTAAAACGTTTTTACTTATATTTCGAGAACTTTCTTATCCAGAAAGGTATGAATAGCTATTTTTGCATAAGAAATACTCCCTCCGTAAGTCCGTAACATTCATATCTTCTCACTTTCCTTTTTCATCTGTAACACACATATCTTCTCATTTTGAAATTTTCCCATCATACACTATTACAACTATTTTTTGGGATTTATCCTTATTCCAGCACGCTATTTCATTATCTTCTCATTATATGCTCAATAATTTATATTACATTTCACTATTTTTAATCTCACCTACTTTTAAACAGGAAGATATAAATACTACCAAGCTAGTATATAACTTAATTGGGCATCCTTGAATAGTTGAATGGAATTACTCAATTTATTATCCAGCACTTAATTAATATGAATATGTCTTATTGAGAAGAAAGTACAAGTTTGATAATTCCTGGCCAAATGATCTGAACTATAGTTTATAAATGATCTGTACCCAAATGGAATATTAATGAAAATGGGTCCGAAGCTTTTTGAGTTTGACATATCTGAGAATAGAGAGTCTCCCAGTGCCAACCGCCTCCATGAACGAATGGTCATCCATTTCCGTACATGCATGGTTGGGCCGGGGTAGTCTTCCTCTCCCCGTGCTAATGTTTTGCTGATAGCCTTTTCATTTAATTCTCACCTGATTATTAATTGTGTCATCTCAGGGGTTCATTATTAGTCTAATTATTATCTCTCTTTAATTATGAGACAATTATATATTAATTATATACTATGAGTACGTAGGTATGATCAAATTAAAGGTGTTTTGGATTCAAGTATAGTAGCTGTTTTTTGACGTTACTTTTCTTTAATTTCTTCTAAATGTCTAATTGTTTAGAACCCGATTGGTAACAATGAAATTGGCTGATTCTGTAGAAATTTATGAAGTTCTGGCTGAAGTGATTACACTGACAGAATACACCTAATTATGGACATATTATAGTTAAAATAATCTTTTTTAATAAATTTAAGAAAAAAACAGCATAATACCTGTCAATAATGATCTACAATAACTTCAACCAATTATTGAGTCTGAAAAACAACTTAAACCTTGATTATTTTATTTACTTCTCAATTCAGCGTGCACAATTAAAACTCAGTGTGATAAAAAAAATTGGTTAAGAAGACTAATAAGCTACTATTTATGGTCTATGGTGTGAAGTCAAATAATTAAGGTTTCTCACTGCTTACTATTTATGGTCTATGGTTTTGAGTGATTAGCAAATTAGGTGGGAGTTTAATTATCTCCAGAGTGGACCCAGGAAATTCATTGGTTCAAAATATTTTTTGGGGGTGAAAATTATTTTATGTGGGGCGAAAATTATTTTTTGTATATATATAGTGAAAGAGGTTCTATGCATGATTAATTAAAACACAAAGGGGTTTGACGCATTTTTCAAATCACATGGGGCTAATGCGCTGAATTTCTATATCATGAGGAGGTTTGATGCATTCAGTGGCGGAACTAGGGGGAGGCGAGCCGGTGCCGACGCTCCCCCTTCTCTGGCGGTGGTTTTGTATATATATATATATATATATATATATATATATATATATATATATATATATATATATATATATATATATATATATATATATATATATATATATATATATATATATATATATATATATATATATATATATATATATATATATATATATATATATATATATATATATATATATATATATATATATATATATATATATATATATATATATATATATATATGTATATCTCTCAGCCCCGGTTCAGAAAGTATTCATATATTAAAGTGTAGTCGCTATTTGAACGTATGAGTTGTGATAGTTCAAATGGTATGGTGGAGGTTGGGAAAACTCTGTCTACCTAAATGGCTCGGGTTCAATTCTCAGGAGTAACAATTTTTTTTTGCTTTCTCCATTATTGCTTCTTTAGACTTTAGCCCATTTGGTAATTATTTATGTTCAATTAAATCACTCTAGGATGTAATGTTGTTTAAATCACATTTTTGAATTTCTATATCTTTTATTTTAAATTATCATTTCTTCAATTCAAATTAATTTTAATCATTTCTTCTTCTAATAATGACATATACGGACGTTGTCATTTAATGTCAAGAATAATTCTAAAACTACTTTAAGTTAATATAAGTATTTACCTTTTGTTTAGTATAATAGCATTTTTATTTGAAACACACTACATATACATATATATAAGTTTCGGATCAAATAAAAAGAGTTCTTATCATGAAAATTGATCGAGAATAAATCTTGTGCATTTAACTTGAGATCCGATGAGTCAAAATCAGTCAACAATGCACTATATTTTATCAAAAACTCGGTGACAATTTGATAAATAAATCAAAATTTTCTCTCATTGTGAAAAAGTGTAAAATAAATATCTACTAGTATACCAAAACGAGTAAAAAATATAAAGTATGAATAATTGTATTAATATCAATGTACAAGATGATGTTTATATACACGGTAGAAATTGTTGTGATAGTTAATGAGATAATGATGACTATCTACAATTATGGAGATAAACTAGCAGGATAACCATCTAGCTAACCGTATGTACATAATAATAAAAATATTAATAATAATAATTATGTTGCTTCAATAAAAAATGCGCTCGTTCTCATTTTTCACGGGAATAACTCTTTTTATTAGAACCTCACTCTATATGTATTAATAATTATTTTTCACTCGTTTTTATTTTATCCTAATAAAAAATTGTTTTTCAAAAAAAAAATAAGAGCACCCCCTCAAATTATTGTCTGGTTCCGCCGCTGGATGATTAAACCCTATTAGTTTTGCAGTTTTAATTTTTGCCATAAATGAAGGTTAGATCGAGTTGATGAAACTTTTAAAGTTTTCAGTTTTATAAATTTATCCATTTACTTAGCCGCACATGTTGTTGGATTTTGGGATCTATTGATTCACCAACTCGGCCAAAATTTGAACTTTTTTCAATAATTTTTGTACGGCCTTAGGAGTTAGGGCACATGACCTTTAGAGTTCACACTTGCACTCCCACAGGAGCGAACATGCTTGTGTCTCTCTTCATCAACCCCGGCCGGGAGAGCCCTCTCTTAGCTTTCTCCATGTGCTTCGCCCTTGATGCTGAAGTTCTCATAAATGGAGTCATTCACATGCCCTGTGGACGGGGAAGATGTTCTCCAAAATGCACATGCCTACATACAGTGCCGCATGCCAACATACAAGGGCGGGGCCTTTGGTTATGAGCAGTTGGTTGACTCTTTTTTTCGGCTTAACTTTTTAATCAAACACGTAACTTTTTATTTCGCGCGCTGAATTGTGTATTAATAAGAAAAAATAAGGTTGAAGTTGTTTTTCATACTGTATTGGCTGACATTAGTGTAAATGCTAATTTCAGCTATTTTTTAATATAAATTTATCTTTATTTGATTAAAAAAATGTATTTTAAATGAAATGTATTCATAAATCAGCAGAATCAGCTAATACATCTAGAGCCCGTTTGGTAGCACGAAAATCGGTTGTTTTGCTTGATTCTGCTGAAATTTATGAAGTTTTGGCTGAAGTGGTTGCATTGGCTGATTCTGCTGATTTAAGAAAAAAATATTTTTAAAATATATTTTATTAATAAAATAAAGAAAAAATTATATGTAAAAATAGCTAAAATGGTCA